TCGGTCGCCTTCGAGCTCGCACACCCATTGCCAGGCATCACCTACCGCAGGGTCAAGTGAGAAGCCCAGCGTGGGTCGCGGGTCTCGAAGTCGACTCGCCGCCTCTTCGAAAGGCCATCCACGAGTTCATTCCACGGATGGGCTCGGTGGGGCGGGGCGTACATACAAATGATAGGATGCCGAATGCAAATTTCTAAATGCAGGTGCCTCAACATATTCCCCAAAGCGGGATGAGCAGTTCAGCGGGTTGATCTTTTGGCGATCTGTATCGCCGATGCAGAGTCGGACTCAATCACGAAACGTGCATCGTAGAGGTGCGGGTTGCTGCGGTCCTCCCCCCCATTATCAGTACTTCCAATCCACAGAAGGGCCTAGAGGGTCGCGCACATCTCAGGTCTTCGGGTCTAGATCGATGCCAACAGAAGTGAAAACCTTTCCTGCCCTAATTCCGAAGAAAGAAACGTCTCCTGCTGTGCTCTTCGCTGCGACGGCCATGGCCCAGGCCGTGGTGCTGCGATCCTTTTCGTCAAAAGACCCTTCGACGAAAACCGGGGTCTCGCCAGTGACGGGCTTGCGAGTTGGGCACTAGTTCAAGGCGAGGACGGCATGCTCGTGCAGACCTGTGTGGTCAACTGTTTTTGTCAAGCTGACTTGGTGGCCAGTTCTCTTCAAACGTATGAGAAGATCTCCTGAGCTCCCCAAGTCGCTGGTGATCAGATCGGTAGGATCGTCGCCAAGGATCGCAACGTCGATCGGGGTCCTGGCATCGAGCTCGCGGATCACTGGCCTCGAAACGCCATCCTCTTCGATCCCAAGAGGACGCGCACCAGGCCCCTCACCCAACCCCTCAGAAGAGGGCGAGGGCGAAGGAGGCGAGACCGAGTCGTAAGAGTGGAGCGGCCCGGTCGCACTACAAGCGGCTTTGGCTCTGGACCGGCCAGTCTTGAATTTGGTTCAGGCAGGGGGTTCGGCCGATGCTCGAGAGAGCTCTGACGCCTAGTGGAGGCTGCCTGCGAGCCCTCATCGGGCTGTGCTTTTGTGGCCGTGGAGGCTCAGTACTCGAGGCGGTCGGCGCTCCCCTCTCCCCTGGCGCCCATGATGGGCCTGTTTTTCACCACCACCACAAGTTGGAGGGGGGAAGGAGGAGGAGGAGGAGGAGGCGGAGGACCCCCCCTCCAACTTATTGTGGTGGTGGTGGTGGAACACACGCACAGCAGCCCATGCCGTCGCTGCTCGGGATCCTTTGGTCCAGGCCCACGTTGTCGGCGGCATCGTCGATCTTCTTCTGGAGGTTCCGTCTCGCCGAGCGCCGTCCGGATGGTGCCATCGATGGGTGTTTCTGCTTCATCTTGTCGTTCGCTGGACGTCCCGCGCCGGTCTGTCGGGGGCTCCTCGGGGTAGGGCTCCTTGATGCGCGCGCGCGTTGGTCCGAGAGAGTATTGATCCGATCCCTCGCCCTTCTCGATGTTGGCGGCCCTGTGTGCTACCAAATCCCTCCTCGACTGGCGCGGCGATGGCACCACCGGGGTCGGCGGTGCTGCCTCCAGAATCTGCTCCTGGACGGGTACAGAGTTCCGTCGGCGATATCGTCGGAGACATTGGTGGGCGGGGCGGCGGCGGAGTCGCTAGCATCGGACCATGGAGATCATTGGGATTGACAAACTTCATCGTCTTCTTCAACATCTGGGCATCATCCTGAGCTTGAACTGCTGATTGAAATACAGCTGGGTTCACGGCCAGGCTCCCTAGTGATGAGGTCGCCGATGAAGAAGCCGAGGCTGTCGTGGTCGTAGCCTGTGCTGGCTGGGGCTGATGATGACTGATGGGCTCCTCTTGGAAGAGGACGGCGTTCTGCCTGGGTAAACGCTCCCATCCTGGCTCCATTATCATCTCGGTTTCATCTTCTCCTCCTCGGCTTTCTTCTAGATAAGCATACCTTGTATCTTCATCTTGGTGCTCCTGAGAGCGTCGAGTTGGTCCTGGAGGTTGTCGTAGACTGCCTGCTTGCGCGATATAAACTCTTTCTGGGCCTCGACCTCCTTCGATGCTGCTTCCGCTCTCGGGGTCGCACGTGCAATACTCGTCTCTGTCTATGCATTCTGCTGCTCGAGGGACTTCTCGGACATGAGCATCCTTCGGAGCATGGCGATCTGCTGCGCTATCTCCAGAACTGGTTATGTAATGGCCCAAGCTACTTGATACCTCTGCTGGAGGAGGTTGAGCTTGGATCTGGTTTCCTTGTAATGCTTGGTCTTCTCACTCTCGTCGGCCTTTGGCGAGAGCTCCTTGTAGCCTGGGTGGGCACGGGCCTCCAGTGGCGTCGCCATCCTCACACACTGCGGGCCCCTGATGTCGGCGGTGTCGTCCTGCCAGGGAACTGGCTCGGTATTGCTCCTCGAGCGTGATTTCCGCCTCTGGCCATCTGCCTTGCTGTTGTCCTGCACGTCCGCGGATGCCTTCCGATGTGAGTTGCACTCGGCGCAGTTCGCGGAGCTGTTCCATCTATGCTGCCCGCACTTGCACTGCCATGCACAAATCCATGGCGCCATCGACGGTGTGGTCCGATCGACACACTGCTGCGGGTACAGAAGCGAATGGAGGGGACAGCGATGTGCTGTGGCGGGAGGAACGGCAATGGAAGGAACAGCGAATGGGAGGGACAGCGAATGGAAGGAACGTGGCTATGGTTCGATGGTCCCCTGCTGGCGAGGCCGTGATGCCTACCTACAAGCTGGAGCGGTCTGACCTGCTGTTCGATCGGGAACTTGGGCCCCAACCGAGTACGATCTGATTCCAGATCGGCTGCGGGCAATGGCCTTGAGCCAAAATGGCTACGGTCCTCCTCCTCCTCCTCCTCCTCCTCCTCCTCCTCCTCCTCCTCCTCCTCCTCCTCCTCCTCCTCCTCCTCCTCCCCTCCTCCTCCTCCTCCCCCTCCTCTTCCTCCTCCTCCTCCTCCTCCTCCTCCTCCTCCTCCTCCTCCTCCTCCTCCTCCTCTCCCTCATCCTCCCCCTCCTCCTCCCCCTCCCCCCAGGCCCCCTGCCGGATCCTGGTCGGCTAAGATCCTCTGCTCGGGATCTGTGCGCGCGCCCCCTCGGTTGGGGCCAGGAGTGCGCGTGCAAGGACCGCCCCCGGGTGTGCCCCCGCTGACCCAGTGACGCCCGCGTGGTGAGGCTTTGGGCTTCGCGTGCACAGCCTGTCCTCCCCCTGTCCTCCCCTCCCCTCTCCTCCCCTCCCCCCCACTCTCTCAGGGGCGGAAAAGAGGGGGTTGATGACTTGGGGGGAGGTGGACATCACGGCGTGGGCAATGATATTTCCCCAGATCTCATGGCGCCTCTTCTTGTTTCATTACGTGCCACGGCCCCCGCAGGGGTCGCGCACATGCCGCCGGCCATGATTTGCGCCCCCCCCTCTTGGACGCCCCCCTCTTGGCCGCCCCCCCCTCTCGCTGGTCAGTGCGAGCGAACGTGGATCTGCATCGTGTTCCACGGGCCTGTCGAGCGTGCCGACGTGCACAGTTCGTCTTGCTTGAGCGCCCGCCGTGGTGCACGGCCTGTGACTGACTGGCTGACAGCCCCCCCGGGTAGGCCGGGCTTGCCTCAACAGGCACCCCGAGTTGCCGCAGCTAGCTTCAGCATGCTTCCGAGCAGTCCGGGGCGGTCTCAGCACCCTGGCGCCGTGTCCGGTGGCGCCCGTGCGGCGTGCTGCGCTCCAGCAAGGGTTGAGGTGTTGAGACCGCCCTGGACTGCTCGGGGGGCTTGTTGAGGCGGGGGGGTTGTTGTGCGCAACAGGCGCCCCTCAGGGCTTCGCAGGCCCGAATAGGTTCCAGGAACATTTTTGTTACCCTGGCGATGGCGGGTACTGCGTGGGCGGCGGTGACGTCACGATTCGCGCCATTGCCGTTTGGGAAAACCCAGGAATGGCAACTTCTTAGATGGCATCGTCACGACCTGTAACGTCACCAGGGAGGGAAGTGGGGTGGCGGGGCCGGTAACTGGCGCAATCGCGAATCGTGCCACGAAGGGACTGCAGATCTCGCTGGACGACTTGAGGGGGCCCGCTCAGCCGAAGCCGGCGCAGCGGCGAGGGCGCCCAGAGTTTGGCCGAAGCCAGAAGAGTCTGGACCCAGAAGTGCGAAGTGTGCGAGATGGAGCAACGTCAGGAGGTGTATCGTCTGGAGTTCAGGGGTTTTCTGGCGTTTTCGTGGGTTCTGGGTGGTTTCCCAGACTCGTTGTGCCCTCCAGCAGCTGCGCCTCGCCGAGAGAGAGAGAGAGAGAGAGAGAGAAAGAGAGAGAGAGAGAGAGAGCGTTGCGCGGGTGCCTGGATCGTTCCGAAGGGCCGCAAGAGGCCCAAGTTGCGGCCTGACAGCCACCAGGGACGGGGACTTCCCAGGAGGGGAGAGGAGAGTAGGGGCCAGGCTTCGGCGCTGCCGGCCCTTTCCCCGCGCTGCCTGCGTCAGAAGTGGGGCCTCGGCCCCATTCTGTTTAGACTCCGAGGGTTGGCTGGCGGCGACGGCGGCGACGGCAAAAGGCATCCGAAGGTCTTCGCATGTCTGCTTCCCCCCCTTTCCCCCCCCTCCTCCCCCCCGTCCTCCCCGATCCCTCGTCGTCTTCGTCATTGCCGCCGTCGCCGCCGCCACCCGTGCCGCCGTCGTCTCCGCCGATGTCTCCGCTGCCGCCGCTGTGGTCGTCGCCGCCGTCGTCCCCCAGACCTCTCCTGGTCCGCGTTCGGGCCGCCGAGGGCTCTCGAGGGCCGCCGAGGGCTCCTCGGGGCCTTGGCATCGCTCGGACTTGTGTCGTTTTCCTCGGCGAGGGCCATCGAGGGGCATCCTATCCTGGATCACTCGGCACAGAAAAGCATGCGCGAAACCGAGCATGCGCAGGGAGTGGGCGTCCGAGCGATGGCCCCGGGCCGCCGAGGGGGGCTGCCGAGGGCTCCCGAGGTCCGCCGAGGGGCGCCGCCGAGGGCCGTCCAGGGCGTCGCCGCCGCCGCCTGCGACTCAGGCGAGCCTGGCGGCGGGGTCGGCTCCGGTGGACGTGGCCGACGTCGTCCCCACGTTCTCGGCGTGCACAGTGGACGCTGCCCGCAGAAGCCAGCCTGCGGAGGGGCGGTGGGGGCCTTGCCTAGCGAGCTGGGGGCGGTCGTCGTCGTCGTCGTCGTCGTCGTCGTCGTCGTCGTCGTCGTCGCCCAGGGCGACCGCGGGGGCGCGAAGGTAATCGCGCATCGCGCGTCGCAGTCAGGGCCACCTCGGTGCGGCCCTATCTTTTGCCCTGCCACGCCCTGCCACTACCGGCTCGCTGCCCGTGTGAGCCTGTGCGCTGGCACACGCGTGCGAGATCTCTACGGTTTGCACGGGCTCCGCCGCCCCCAGCCTCCCCCCCCCGTGCCCATTCCTTCTTCCTCACCATGACCTTCCAGAGAGCTATTTTTTAGCACGGGGGGCCTAAAAACTCAAACAATTAAGCGAAACAGCCTAAAACCAAGACATATAATAGCTCTGGGATAGGTTTCTAAATCGCGTGCTATTTTTTAGCCCTCCTGGATGTGCCCAGTAGTCGGCTCCGAGGCGGCCCTCGGCTGCCTCCGTCGCTCCTTGGACTCGAGACTCGAGGCCACGAAGGTGCCGCCGACGGGCAGAGCGCGGTCTGGGCGGAGCGGCTGCCCTATATTTACAGCTGGGGCAGCGCGTCGGGGCGAGCGGGCGCGGAGAGATGCCCGCGCGCCGCGCGTCGCGAGTTGCGGCGGCGCAGAGCTGGGCGGCTCGTATAGGAAACAGAGGGGGGGGGCAGAGGGTACAGGGAGAGGAAGAGGAGAGAGAGAGAGAGAGAGAGCCCCTCCCTCCTCCCTCCTCCCTCCCCCCCCTCCTCCTCCTCCTCCTCCTCCTCCTCCTCCTCCTCCTCCTCCTCCTTGTCGCGCGCTTGTTGTGACATGCTCTGTCATCTTTGCTCTCGCTGCACGCCGTCTTTGGGCAGCTCTTGTCACATGCTGCAAGCATATAGCATCAGGGTTAGCTTCACGAAGCTCTGTCCGCCACTCGAAACGACATGAAGCGAAGCGACAGAGAGAGAGAGAGAGGGAGATAGACAAACCATGCATAGCGAGAGCAGGGGGCGCGGGCAAGGGAGCGGGGAACAGCAGCCGCGCGCGCTCTGCCGCACTGCGGCCCTCTCCTCCCCTCTGGGCTCTAGGCTATAACCCCAGCAGCAGTCCCTGCCCTCACTGGGAAAGGGTTTGCTGCCAGCGTCGCCGCGGACGCTGTTCGTTCGGGATGGACGCCGCCTCCCCAACAGCGGCCACTGTCGTTTTTTGTTGTTGTTGTTTTGACGACACCAACTGTTGAGCATCACCGGTTGTTCCCCTTGTAGGGGACCCGAGTCTCCTCCCCCTGCCCAGGCTCGGGAGCCGGGCAAGGGCTGCTAGATCCGTGGCTGCTAACATCGATCTCTGGGACGTTGTCTTCGTCCTTCCGGGAAGAAGCCCGTCGACTGTTTCGTGTGCCGCGCCGCATTCCGGGAAGTTGTTTTTTCCTTCCGGGAGGGGTCGTTTTAGCAGCCACGGTTTTAGCAGCCCTCGCCCAGCTTTCGACAGGCACGGCTCGAAGCAAGAGTAAGTCGGAGGTTGGGGGGTGGGTCCGACGTGAAACGGAGACCCCCCTTGCAGGGAACTCGATCTCGCTTTCGGGCTCGTGCCGTGCGTGCCGTGCCTGCGTGCGGACGAGGCGAAGCTGCGTGGGCGGGCGCGAGGAGATCCTCCCGTGGCTGGGCCGCGGCCGGACCAAGTGTAACTCCTCCGGCGGCCGGTGCCCCGCGGTGTCCCGCTGGTGTCCCGTCGTGTCTTGTGGTGGCCCGTGGTGTCCCGTTGAGTGAGATCGGTAGCGAGATCGATAGTGAGATCGAGACTGAGACCGATTTGGTGCCCCGAGGCGTCCCGTGGTGTCCCGTGGTGTCCAGTTGAGTGAGATCGATAGTGAGCTCGCCAGGTGTCCCGTGGTGTCCCGTGGTGTCCCGTGGCGTCCCGTTGAGTGAGATCGATAGTGAGATCGATAGTGAGACCGATAGTGAGATCGAGAGGTGTCCCGCGGTGTCTGGTGGTGTCCCGTGGTGGCCCGTGGTGTCCCGTGGTGTCCCGTTGAGTGAGATCGATAGTGAGATCGATAGTGAGATCGACAAGTGTCCCGTGGTGTCCCATGGTGTCCCGTGGTGTCCCGTGGTGTCCCGTTGAGTGAGATCGATAGAGAGATCGATTGAGTCAGATGTTGGTTCCCTCCCCCTCTCCCCCCCCAAACCTCCTTATCACCCGAAGGGTGGTCGTATAGGTAGTACCAGAGCGCACCAGAACGCTCCCAGAGAGTTGATCCTCATCCTCATCCCCGTCGTCGTCCAACCCCTCGTCATTCTTTTCCTGTCATGCCTCATCCATGTCTTCCCTACCCTTACCCTGTAAAGGGAACGGGAGGCTCACAGCCAGCGGACAACAGAGCTGGAGGTGGACAATTGCTTGCAAGGAGACCCCCAGAGGGGGGGGCAGGCGAGGAACGCGCAGTCAGGTGCGAGAGCAGATCTCCTTGGCATCGCTCGGATTAAGTCGGGCCTGTCCCCCTACAGGGGGATTTTCGACGACAAATAACACATACCCCAAAAATAGTCAAACAATAGTCCAAACATAGTCTGATGACTATTTTTGGATTATTTGTTGGCCTTTCTGGTGTTGTTTTGTTTTTTTTGTTTTTCGTCGAAAATCCCCCTGTAGGGGGACACGCCCGACATTACGCTCGGACGTGTGCATTTTGTTCCTCGGCGAGGGCCATCGAAAAACATCCTGGATCGCCGTGCGGACGAGCACACGCACGACATCGAAACATGCACGGGGAACGGACGTCCGAGCGACGGCCAGCTTGCCTGTCTGTGTCGTCGTCGTCGTCGTCGGCCTCGGCAGCGGCGTCGGAGTCGGAGTCGCGGTCGTGGCTGTGGTCATCGTGTCGCCGTCGCCGTCGCCGTCGTTGGCGTTGCCACCGCGGCCGCCAGCGCCGCCGCCACCGCCGCCGCCGCCGCTGGCGCCGCCATCGCCGCCGCCGCCGCCGTCGTCGTCGCCGTCGTCGTCGTCGTCGTCGGCGCCGTCGTAGTCGTCGTCGTCGTCGTCGTCGTCGTCGTCGTCGTCGTCGTCGTCGTCGTCGTCGTCGTCGTCGTCGTCGTCGTCGTCGTCGTCGTCACGACGGGCGGCATCTGTCAAGTTCCGACGGGGCCACGGGACCCTTCAGACACGGTGCAGGAGGAACATCATCGGCTCCCGGGGGGGAAGGAGCCCAGGTCTCCAGCGGCCCACGCGGTGAAAACATTTCAGCGTCGGGGTCCTCGGGCGTGCGGGTGCCCCGCCAGCACAGGGCTCGAGCTAAACGATGTTTTGGCAATTTCGTGGGCCGTTTTCGTTGCGACTTCGTTTCGCAGCAACTGTGGAGCGAAGACAGAACGAAACGAAAACGAAAAACAAAACGAAAACAAAACACGAAAACCAAAACAAACAAAACACAACAAAACAAAACGAAGCAAAACGTACAGGGATCACGAAAACGAAACGAAAACTGACAACGCCGTTTCACTCGAGCCCTGGCGGGTGCCCTGCGCCAGCGTGCTGAGCACCCGCCCCGGCGCGGCAGGCTCGCCGCGCCGAGCCCGGGCAGCGCTTCCCCGCCGAGCTCCGGGGAGCCCCGCGCCTCTTTCAGGAGGGGGAAAACACAGACACAAGTAATCGTCGACTCCCAGGAGCATGTGGAAGAATATGGGAAGGGGGGGTGAAGAGAAAAGACCCAGAACATGTGAGAACCTATGGGGCATCTTGTTATTTGTGTGTGTGTTTCTTTGTGTGTGTCCTGGGGCCCCTTCACTTTTGCCGCCCCAGGCGGCCGCCGGGCGCCCCGCGGCGGCCCCCGAGGGCGCGGCGCCCCTCGCCCGGTCGCGCGCTGCTGCGTGCCGGCCCCCCCCCCCCCCTCCACAGAGATCCGATGCTTTGAATGTTTAGGTGCTGGTGCCCCCCCCCCTCCTCCTCCTCCTCCTCCTCCTCCTCCTCCTCCCCCTCCTCCTCCTCCTCCTCCTCGTCCTTCTAATCCTCTTCCTCTTCCTTCTGTTCCTCTTTCTTTGTCTTGTTTTTTTTTGTTGTTTTTCATTTTTGTTCTTTTTGTTATTCTTCTTCTCCTTTTCCTTCTCCTCCTCCTCCTCCTCCTTCTCTTCCTCCCCTCTCTTGTGGGAGGTTTCCTGTCTCGGGGGTGGACAGACCTCCCACCCTGACACGTCGATTCAGGAATTGGCCTGCTTCGGTTCGCGAGAGGGCGTCGCGGCCGTCCTTTTTTGCGGGTCCAGGTCCGTCGGTTTCGGTCCCAGGCCCTTTTCACCAAGAGGAGGTCCACTAAAGGGAGGTCTGCCCACCGCCGAGACGTCTCTTCCCCTTCTCTCGGGCAGGGCTTTCATCCAGGCCGGCAGCGGCAACAGCATCTGGCATGATTCTTGCCGCGGCCTGGCCGCCCCGCGCGCCCCGCGGCCTCGCCGCGTGAATGCGCTTTCCTCCTCCTCCCTCCTGCCCCTGCGGCCGGCTCTCTGCTTTCCCTCCTCCTCCTGCATGCGGGACAATTCGCACTGCCGTAGCCTGGATTGCTTGGACGCGCGAGCGGATCGCCTCTGTCGCGCCGCGACGGGAAAGTGTGTGTGTGTGTGTGTGTCTCAGCGTTTTGCTCGAGCGGCGTCTTCCTGATTCTCTACCAGCGGGAACGGCACAGACGAGCCCTTTCACGGCCATGTCGAGGGAGTGGGCAGGAGCGGGAGAAGCTCTCCAGAAACACTTCGCAAAATTGGAGAGCTGCGGCGCCTCGCATGTTCGTTGGTATATATATTTTGGTGGTAGGAACGTACCACGCCGGCTCCGTGATGACGGGCAACAGGTACGACTCCAATTACAGGGACAGCCAGTTGGAGGCGAGGGGGGTGGGCGGGATTGCCGCGCTCAAGCTCTCCCTCTCCGTTTTCGATCTCCTCCTCCTCCTGCTCCTCCTCCCCCTCTGAGCTGACTTGCTTACCCCACCTTCACCCCCCTTCGCTCTCTGTGGCTCTCCCGCCCGTCCCAAGTCCACTCAAAGTCGGTCCCGGGGGAACCCTGCGAGGGAGACTGCGGTCTCTCAAGGTACCAGACTGTACTGGCCCATTGTGCCTTGTTTGGCTGTCTCTGCGGGTTTCGGGCTTCTGTTCTTCGCTCGGTCGCCCCCCCCCGCCCTGGTGCCTTTCCTTTCGCTCTTGCTCGTTTGCCAATTCCGCGCCCTCGTTCGGTCCTGTTGCTGTTTGGCAGTCAGCGCTGCTTGGCTCGAACCCGCGTCGAGAACCCTGCCGGGGTCCCTCCCGACCCGCTCTTCGATGCAGATGCAGCCGTGGCGGCGGGAGACCTCTGGGAGGCTCAGGAATGACGAAACGCGCCAGGGATGGCCGCCGTTTCCCTTCCCTTCCTGCCCACTCCCCGGTGCTCCCCTCGCGGCACCACGCCCGTGCGCCCCAGGGGAGCTGCTCGAGTGCCACAGAGAGGCCACCCGAGCACTGACCCGACGACTCCGCCGTCGAGCTGCCGCCTCAGGGCCGCAGTGAGTCAGGTCAGTGTTCGCGCCTCCGGGCCATCACCTGAGGGGCTCGAGCGAACAGGAGCGCGAGAGCGCCCATCATCATCATCATCATCATCATCATCATCATCATCATCATCATCATCATCATCATCATCATCATCATCATCATCATCATCATCATCACCACCATCGCCATCATCAGCATCACCATCATCAGCATCATCATCCTCATCCTCATCCTCATCCTCATCCTCATCCTCCTCATCCTCATCCTCATCCTCATTCTCATTCTCATCCTCACCCTCATCCTCATCCTCATCCTCATCGTCATCGTCATCCTCATCCTCATTCTCATCATCATCATCATCATCAGCATCAGCATCATCATCATCGTCGTCATTCGTCATTCATCATCCTCATCCTCATCCTCATCGTCATCCTCCTCCTCCTCCTTCTCCTCATCATCCTCATCCTCATCCTCATCTTCCTCATCATCATCACCATCATCATCATTACCATCAGCATTATCATCATCACCGCCATCGTCGTCATCATCATCATCAGCATCATCATCATCATCCTCGTCATAATCATCATCATCATCAACAACATCATCATCATCATCATCATCACCGTCGTCGTCGTCGTCGTCGTCATCATCATCATCATCATCATCATCATCATCATCATCGTCCTCATCATCACCACCACCATCATCATCATCATCAGCATCATCATCGTTATCATGGCGCTCACCCATCGCAAATACGGCCTCCGGTGCCCCCTCGAAGGAGAGCCGCCGAGCATGCTGAGCTGGCACGGTGGCGGGCCTTGACGCAGGCAGCTGGATATGTCTGTAAGGAGCCCACAGCCTGGAGATCCAGGCGCTCCTGGGCGCTCTCGCGCGCTCCTGCGCGCTCGTGCACGCTTCCTGGAGCGTGTCCTCGTCTGGATTCGGGTTTTCTTATTTGCATGGCATTTCGCTCCGCCCGCCCCATCCCCACTGCAGCCATTTCAAACGGCGCTGGGCCGCCCCTCTTGTGGCATCGTCACCGTTTATTCCCTTGCTTGTTGTTGTCAGCATCGGGCTGGCGTTTTAGTCGCTTGCCCAGCGGTCTTTAGTCCTACATCGTTGGCCGAGAAGGCGTCAACGTGAGTCTCGAATTGCGTGGAGTCCAGATTTCCGTTCGGGCCTCGCCACGACCTCCCCCCTTTTCCGCCAACAACTTGTAGTCACCGTGCCACGTTTGCGTCTCCCGAGGCGTCGTCGACCTTCCTCCCAAGAATTGTACGGTGCATAGTTGTTCGGCTATCAGAGCAGGACATGTATGCACCGTGCCGCGTTGGAGCGAGGGCTGAAGGGAGTCCAAATTCGGTACGCCACAGGAGAGCCGTTTTCTGTTTGCGATTCCGTTGCGAGATCGTTGGCGGGTGTCGGTTTTATCGTCGCTCCTCGTTGCACGAGTTTTGTGAAAGCGTTCAAACAAGTACCAGAAAGACTATGCAGTTTGAATTTCCGTGTGGAAGGAGGCTTGGTTGGGATTCTTACGGCGTGTGTTCCTCGTAGCTGCAAGGCCTTCGGCGAGAGACATTTTTTGTGGACAAAGGGTACCGGCACCTCTTTGCAAACCTCTGACAATTCATGTTCCGGTGATCTCAATGCTAGCTTGGGTGCGCAGCTACCCGAGGAGGAACCATAATCGGCGACCGCATTTTCGGCAACACGGTCGGCGCCAACGGGTAGACCCCCAACAGGGATTTGCTCATGGAGCTATGTGTCAGTTATCCTCTCATGTTGGCCCAAGCTTTCTTTGATGCCTCCCTCACCGGCAAGGCAACGTATTGAATGGGCTTCGGCCCATCCCGCCACCGTACCTGGGTTGTGGGTATGAAGCCGATTGGATGTTCGTCGGGATCTCCTCTCGGGGGCCTCTTGAAAGCCGCTTGGACGCCTCTAGGTTGCAGTTTTGGAGCCTCTCGGGGCCTCTTTGGGGCCTCTTGAGACTCTTGGGGCCTCTTAGGGGCCTCTTGGGGGGCCTCTTGAGGCCTCCTGGGCGCCTCTGGGGGCCTCTTGGGGCGGATTTCGGTTCGTGTTCCCTCGCTTGGCCCCATCTTGTCGCCTTTTTGGGGCCCTCTTGGGCTGTCTTGAGGCCCTCCTGGGTCGTCTTGGGGCCCTCTCGGGCCGAGTGACTCTCTTGGGGGCCTCTTGGGCCGTCTTGGAAGGGGCTCGGGGACCTCTTGGGCCGTCCAGGAGCCCCAAAGCGGAAAAGGCGAGGAGGCCAAAAACAAGAAAACAGATGACAGTCAACGATTTCGCCCTCTTGGGGCTCTCCTGGGAGGCCTCTCGGAGTCCTCGTTGGGCGTCTTGGGGGCCTCCTGGGCCGTCCGGAGTTCGTCCAAGGCAGCTTCTTGGGCCGATCTTGGGGGCCTCTTGGGCCCCGTCGCGCCTCCCCGCGTGACTCTCTTGGGGCCCTCTTGGCTCGTCTTGGGGTCCTCTTGGGCCGAAGCAAAGCAAGTCACGCACCACCACTTCCTCCCCCTCCTCCTCCTCCTCCTCCTCCTCCTCCTCCTCCTCCTCCTCCTCCTCCTCCTCCTGCGTTTCTGCGTTTCTCGCTCCGAGCAGCGTCTCGCGTGCGCCCGGAGCGCGGAGCGCGCCACAGCAGCCCGCGAGGGCCGTGCGGGCACTCAGACGGCGGCCCCGGGAACCCGGCCTCGAGGCGAGAAAGAGAACCAGGGACCAATAAATACCTCGGAGGAGGAGGGGAGAGAGGCCAGGTTAAAACAGAAAAAACGCCCGAAATGGTTTTTGGGCGGGCGCCGCGCGCGCCCGCGCCCGCGGGCGTCAGGCAGCGCCTTCGGCGCGGCGCTCGGCCTGGCCTTCGGCCTCTTCGTGGGCCGGGGCCTGGCTGGCCGCTCGGCTGCGGCTGGGCTCCCTTCGGCGCGGAGCGCTGAGCCCAGCCGCTGTGGAGGGCGGCTGCCCTCTCTTCGGCTGGTCCTGCGCTGCCGCTGCGCCTGGCGTGGAGTGGCAGGCCGCCGGCTCCTAGGGGCTGGCTGCCCCCCGCCATGGCGACCTCCACCCTTCGGCGCCGAGCGCTGTGGAGGCTCGCCGAGCCGCTCGTGGGCTCCAGCTCGTCCTGCACTGGCTGGCCGCTCTGGCCGGCTCTTGCCGCCTCTGGCCGGCTGGCCGCGGCACCTCGCATGTCACGCGAGGGCGACGGGGACACACCCTTCGGCGCCGTGCGCTGTGTGTCCCACGTCGCGGGGCAGGCTGCCCCCTGCTTCACTCTGCTTGACTCTGTGGTTCTCGAACCTGTGGTACTGCTTGACTCTGTGGTGCACGAACCTGTGGTACTCGACTCAGTCGTGCTGGTCAAAGTGGTACTGCTTGACTCTGCGGTGCTCGAACCAGTGGTACTCGACACAGTCGTGCTGGTCAACGTGGTACGGCTTGACTCTGTGGTGCACGAGCTGTGGTACTCGACTCAATCATGCTGGTCAACGTGGTACTGCTTGACACTGTGGTGCCAAACCTGTGGTACTCGACCCAGTCGTGCTGGTTGACGTGGTAGTGCTTGACTCGGTGGCCCTCGAACCTGTGGTACTCGACTCAGTCGTGTTGGTCGACGTTGTTGGCGGGGTGGTGGTGGTGGAGTGGATGGTCGGTTGGGGGCGAACCCCAGACCTTGTGGTTGCTTGTCGTGCGTGCCTGTAGGTGGGTCGTTGGGAGGTCGGCTTGTTGCTGGTGTTGTGGTATGGGTTGTGGGCGCACTTATGAGGCCTCCATGCACCGACTTCGAGTGGGGTTCGTGGCGGCCCCACCTCGTCCCGCTATGGCTAGGGGTCACAGTGCCCTCGGTGGGGGCGAACCCCAGGCCTAGTGCTTGCTTCTGTTGTCGGTGAGGGATGTCTCGGCTGCCCTACGCTTCGCCCCTTGGGCGCTCGGGTAAGCTCCGTCTCCGCCATGGGGATGGTGGGGGTGGCGAGCTAGGGCGGACCGCGGGGGCGCAGGTAGTGGCCGTCCTACCCCCCCCCTGCCCCTCACCATCCCCCCTGGTAGGCGCGGGCAGTACTCGTCCTGCCCCCCCACCCTTCGAGCCCGTCTCGAAGTTTGATCCTTGCCTCACCAGGGCAGCGTTGACTTGTAGAGGTGTGATGGGCCATTCATGGGTTGTGAGTGGTGGTTGGTCGGTGGTGCACGGTGGTCGTAGAGGTCGTATATCGTCTGGCATGCTGGTAACCGCTGAACTTGTGCACGTGCGATCGCTGCCTGCGTCAATACTGCAAAACGTGGCGACTTGTGCCTGGGGTGTTCCCACGCATTCGGGGCTTCCCCAGGACTTGCGTCCTAACGCCTCCTGCAAAACTTGG